CTATATAAAATACTGTAACACTTACTTGTAATTATTATACAGGATGGGGCACTGAATTTTGGAAATAGATTTTCATTGAAAATCGTCCGTTTTAGTGCCCCACCCTGTATTTATCAATAAATGAAACTATAGTACCCGCCTGTACTGAATTAATTAATTTTATTTTTATTTTTAATATCATAAAAATAAGTATATTAAAATATGAACTGATGGTGCAGAGAGCTTCCATAAGACGTACAAGTATTCAATTATGGCCAATTTACACTCGTGGTTTCGGTTATAATTACTAATTTAACCAACAATAATAATTATTAATTTGTTAACGTGGCTTAAAAAAATGCACAACCTTTCGTTTTCTGGCTTAAAAAAATTTCGTTGATAAGTTGACCATTATGCAATCGAGTTTTATAAAAGGTAAAACGTTTACAGTCATGTTTCACCCATTCAAATACATTTCCTTCTTATCGGACATAACATATTATACAGATCCTCATATAGTCATACATTACCCGTCCAGTTCATCTTGGCACTCGGCATTCGTAATTATTTTAAAAACCAGTGGTCCGAAAATTGTATTTAATCCCCGGGATTATGCTATTTTGTTCAATATAATATAGTTTTCTTACCACTGTTTTTTTTTTTTTTTAAACCGCAACAGTTGCCGACAGCCAAGATGAACTGGACGGGTTATACCGCCTATGTATTTTACACTAATAGCTACGATGTGGTTTTAAAATTTATTGTTTCTATTGTAAATATTCACTCACCTCTTATCTCTTGATTATCCTATTATTCTAGATGGTGTCTTGTCTGTACAATATCAATGTATATTATATTTCGCTAATGTTGCCCTAGCCCATGAATACCTTTCTATGCTTCATACAGTTCATACTGGTGAATAATATTCTTTTACAAAAACCAAATCGCGTATTTTATATAATAACTATTTCATATAATATTACTTTATAGCTGGTAATTGTTATTAACTAATGAGTTAAAATACCGACGAAACGTAGTAGAGTGGTGTGTGATAAACTGATATAGTGATACTTTGTTCATGGGTTACAGTTGAACCATAGAACCTATATGGCTATATACTCATAGACTGAGCATTACAGGTTGGCGGGGTTGGGTAGAGCGGTCACAGCCATCTTTGTAGCAGTGTGGATAACATCGAATTGAGTCCCAAATATTGAATTGGGTCCCCCAATGGTCGAACTGCACTCTTTCAAAAAAAGGAGTTTAAATTTAAGGTCACTATGAAAGTTCACATTTATTATTATAATAATATTTGACGATTTAAAAAAAGAATAAAAAATTTATTTATGTACATTATTACTACAAAAAATATCAAAATTAGTTGAAAAAAAGTTATAGTAATATTTTATGATGAATATTATATAATATTATATTAACATAATGGACAATGGTATGCATAAAACAATCATTTTTAACTAAGCCAATGATTAAAATCATTGCCAGTCCTAAGCCTGTGAGTGGGGAGGGAAATGAGTGTTTTATAAACTTTTAACAACCCCTTCAAATGTATGATATTTTTGTTGGAATACCTTTTTTAAGCCCAAAACCCAAATGCAGTTCGACTAAAATAAGTGAAATTCGACCATACCGGTCCAAAATCCTCCAAAAAATGTGTGTTATTGTTAACACAGTTTTTTTTTTTTATTGTAATAATAAGTATAAAAAGTCAATTAATTAAAAATAATAATAAGTATTTGTGATTGTATACACTGTTTTTTTTTAATCGTAATAATAATAATAATAATAATAAGCATAAAGAGTCAGTTAATTAAAAATAATAATAATTATGTGTAATTTAATGTGCAAGGTTCGAGGTTACCACCGGCTTATAGGTAGTTATGCCATTTTATCTATACCGACTCAATTCAAAGATACTAAGATAATAAGCTGGACTTAATTCAAACACATAAAAGTAGCACGGACTCAATTCAATATCACCGAGCAGTGTTGTCATTTCTAATAACATAAAGTATATAACCAATATATTATGAAAACACAAAACTAAAAAATAATGCATATTTTTAAAAAAAGCATGATTACCATAATAATTAATAAATCATATGATATTCAATAGATGACTGATGAAAATATTATTTATCCAGAAACAATATAGTTTTTTGTGTGTTTGAGTACCTTACTTACTTGGACTTTTTGCATTGCATGACTATGATACGGCCATTTGGCGTCATTTACTCATTTTGTCAATCAATGATAACTACCTATTGATTATTGTAATTTTTTTATAGATTACCTACATTTGTATGTTGTAATAGATTTTGACAATAATTAAAACAATGTATTATCATGATCTGTGTTCTTAACAAAATTTTCATAAATAAGGAACTACAACTAAACAATTAAAAAGTTGGGAGTGGATGTCGCTCTACTGTACAGTAGGTTACAAGTGGGTCACTGTAATGGATGGTGTTAAATTTTAATACAAGGATATAATGTCATTGTATAAGAAAAACGATTCTGAGCGAAAACTGTCAGTCAGCCTATGATATTACTAAATACTTCAACTTTATAACAATATATATCATGAGCCTTGCGTTAAATTTTCACCAGCAATAACAATTTTATTGATATTTATAGAAAAAAAATTACAAAAATTGAAAACTGACAATGTCCGTAAACTACCCAAAAAGTATCAAATATTTAAAAAAAATTGTGGTGTATAGTAAATGAAAATATAAACATTCAATAAGATTTTCATGGATCTACAGTTATTCGTTTTTGAATAATAATAAAATAACAAAACCACTACATGAGAAATCGAGTGAATATCGTCAATATTGTAAAACTATGAATTTCAAAAGCTCATAAAAATTTAATTTGATTTTTTTAGACATTTTTTTTGATAAAAGTAGAAAAACTTATGAATAATCTTGTATTACATTTTCAGATCTTAGATTTAAAAACAAAATTCTTATGAATTCTCAATTCAAAATAATCTGCTAATTTTCATGATTTTTCCGTATTTTATCAATATTTGAACTTTAAATGCTTGTTAAAAAAAACGATGTAACAATATAGTATAGGAGCCTTGTATTAGATTTTCAAGCTCTTTTACTAAACAAATAAAGTTTTATGGACATTCATGGAAAAAATACTAATAAAATTGGAAACTGAATATGTTTCTAAACAGTTCAAAACAAATCAAAATATTTTGAAAATTTTATCGTTCATAGAAAATGCAAATATAAACGACCAGTGCAAATTTCATGTATATACGTTCATATGTTTTAGAGTTACACCAAAAATTCCCATTTTTCCTTAATTTGTATGTTATTTTTCCTGTCGCTTTTGAAAACTATAGGGAATTTTTACCTCCCCAAAGCACCAACAAATTTCACTTTACCATAGAACAAGATACTGAAGTTTAAAATCGAAGGATTATTTACACTACTTATCATGTACACAAACACAAAAATAAATACATTCATCGTTCCACTCAGAATCTCAAAAAGTGGAAATACAGCCCAGGTTCCGCCTTTTAAAATATTAAATTAGTATAACGTCTATGAGTTAAATATAGATATACATAACTATTCATTTGATAACGGTTGAACAAATAAATATATTTACATTATAATATTATTTCTTAAAGTAAACACATCGAATTACAATGTGATAATTATAAAATGGATAACAACTGTCAATTGAAATATGGTAGATGTAAAGATGAAATTAACAAAATATCATTAAACACTAGTTTTAATTTCACAGAGTAATATAAATACTATTGAAAAGTAAAGTTAAAAAAATATATTTTTAGTAAAATATTCAAAATTATTTATTTGTACACAAAAAAAGATTCTGAGCAGAAATTATGTGTCATTGTGTTAGCCTCTATTTCTGAATATATTTTACAATAGGTAAATATATTTATATTAATTTTAAAAAAGTAATCTGGGTTGCCTAAAAAATCGATTAATTTAATGTCTCAATAACATTGATTGAGCCAATCACGAGCCACTAAATCATGTTTGGGACCTTATGGTCACTATTGAATCATTAAATGTTAAGTGATTATTCAGGAAACCCGACAATAACAGCACACCTGCAGCCTATTTACTGTTATTAATTATTACTTTTATTACCTAACTTATAATAATTATAGTTCTTACGTTGCGGTTACGTAATGTAACTAGAATGGTGTGAATAGATTTTTTAATGTAATAATAGCTTGAATAATTAATTTTTAATTTTTAATATTGTGAAAATTCATTGTTCATAGATAATAATTATTAATTATATATACGTATAATAGCTAACAATAGTATTAAAGTAACAAGTATTAAAGGTTAATATTGTTAAATTACATAGAATAACTAATATCGTATGAGGAAAAATTATTATTTTTGTTCCAATTTTGTCAAAATTAAGACTGAAAAAAAAATTGTTAATATCTATATAATATTATATTTTTCAAGCGAATGTACCAAAATTGTACAAAAATAGTTATAATTTTAACACTATTTTCTATATGGACAATATTAGATAACTACAAATTATTCAATGATAAAATGCATGTAAGATAATAAATAACCTGATTATTACAATTTCAATCAAATATTTTTACCAACATTTATTTGCCCAGAATCACAGGAACCTATATGTATATTCCCATAAAAAGTTTTACTGATTACCTACTATCTAGATTCCGGGGTTTTTAAATGACAATAGTTTTTGTCTTAATGTTGTATTTCAAAATCGGGTTATTACAAGTTCTGAATTTACGTTTCCATAAAAAAAAAATACTGATTTATATCATTCATTTACATAATAATATGTTTCTAACAATTACATTTTTTAAATGTAATTTAAAAAACAAAATATTATTTTGTTATTTTGTTATTATGTTTTATTTTGTAATTCATCGTATGACTCTTATTTTTATTAAAAGTAAATGTATTGTTGTCATCTATCCATAATATTATGTTATGTATGTTTTTAAGATGTTTGACCGTCTTCGAGTTGAAAAGCCCGATTTCAAGACTAAGATAAAAATGATTGATGGTGATTTGGAACAACCCTCACTTGGTTTATCACCAAAGGATCGTGAATGGTTGACAGAGAATGTGAATTTCGTTTTTCACTGTGCTGCAACAATCAAATTCAATGAAAATCTTCAGATAGCAACAAGAATAAACATACAGGGGACAGATAATATTTTAACACTCGCAACGATGATGAAAAATCTTAAGGTAAATAATAATATATAGCGTATTGTGTAACACACAAAGACGGTTCTATAATTCATTAAGAGGAGCTGTGAGTTAAATGTGTGTCTCCTAATCTGACTCAATCAACAAAAGATGCAGAAATAATCATAATTTCATCTCTTCTTTTTACAATAAATGTATTTAAATTGGATTCCCATTTTTCAATACAAGGTTTTATATTTCTTAAGTGTTTGCAAGTGGAAATTTATTCCATTTTTCCAACCCGGACTCCCTTCCCTCATTGGTCTCATAAATACCTATCTAAACATCTAATATATAAACATATATTATATATATATACATGTAATATGTATATACATATATTTTGTTGCTGAGCCCCCCCTTTTAAATGTGTTTGGAAAATTAACTGGACCCTCCATGAAAAATTCCTAAATACTCCACTGCTCCTCTGAATATGTGGTTAGGTTTATTTTCATAGAATGTTGAAATGAGGTGGCTTCAATTGCTAGTTGCCACAAAATCTACTTTTTCGTTTCCTGATATCCCAACATGGACGGAAACCCATATGAATTAATCATATTTATTGTTGCAGGGTCTTGTACACGTATCGACCGCTTATTCACATTGTCCGAGGAATGAAATTAAGGAACAATTCTATCCCACTCCAATTACGGCCAAGGAACTGAAAAATATGTCCAAAGACGAAATTTCATGTCCAAAGTAAATTATATAGTTGTAATTAGATAGTAATTTTTTTTAGTTCTTGATTTTTTTTTTCATTTGTAAATATAGTATCTTAAAAAATTGGCCCAATACATACACGTTTACTAAAGCAATCGCAGAAAATTTGATGTCCAGCAATGACAATCAATTGCCAATTTCAATATTTCGTCCATCGATTAGTAAGTGTATTTGTAAAATATAATATAAGATTGTGATCAAAGTGTGGGAATGTTAAAATGCTAAATGTCTTATTCTTGTGTATTTTTTTTTTTTTGATAGCGAACCAAGTTATTCATTATGTGGCATAATGGATCACAAGCGTTATTCGATTATACATAATATGTAGTTATATTGTAGAGACACATAATATATTTGAACTGGTTCTGGCTGATTTATATTAGTTTAGATGAAATAGATTGGCATAGCTTTTAGTTTGTGTTTAAAATATAATTCTTTTTGAACTAGGTAGTTAGTGTTCCAACTTACTCAGCTTTTGATTTCATGAGTAATGAATGGTCATAAATTTGTAGTAAATTTGTTCAGAAGAACTAACTTAAGATTCTGAACGGTGTCATTGCGATGATAGTTTGGAACCGAAAAAAACCGAAAAAACCGTAAAAACCTCTGCATCTAAAATCTAAATATAGGTTTCGGTTTTGGTTCCTAAAAAAATGTATTGAAGGGTTCCGGTCCCAAGATTTTCAAAAGGTTTCGGTCCAAAATTGGTCAATTTCGGTACTGTTCCAGTCTCTGATATAAACCATCAAATGTGTGTAGTTAATTTATTTAAAATCATTTTTTTCGTGGTAAACGATACTTTCGGTTAAGATGCGTCAAATTTCTTTAACAACTTAAAAAAACAGTGAAAAATTAAAATTACTAAAAGAAAAACCATAATAATATGTTACAGTTGGATGCACAAAGTTAGAACCTAATCCCGGTTGGTTGGATAATATTAATGGACCATCTGGTATAGTTACTGGATTCATAGCTGGATTTTTAAGAACGATACAGCTTGACAAAAATAAAATAGCTGATATTATTCCAGTTGATTATACAGTAAACGCATTGATCAGTGTTATGTGGGATACAGTTAACAGGTATATTTTTTTTATCCCAACAGTTTTCACCAAAACATTAACATTTTTATAATTTTCAGACATCGACATTCCAATCAAATAAATAATGCACCAAAAATATATAATTACGTTTCTAGTGCTGAAAGCCCGTTGACATGGGGTAAATATATTAGAGGAATGCACGAAAATTATTTTGACATTCCTCCGTTGAGATCGATGTGGTATATATTTTATATTTTCCATACCAATTCATTAGTTGGCACAGTTTTGAGATTTTGGCTACATACGATACCTGCTACATTTATGGATTTGTTATTAATTATAAGTGGTAAATCTCCCAAGTAAGTTTTTAATTTGTATTAATTATTTATTTTTTTATATTTAGTAACTAATTCTACGATATACTATAGGCTAGTGGTTCCAAAATTGTGATTTGGGATATTAATAATCTGCTATAAGTGATTTGATAACTAAAAAAATGTACTCTCAGTTGATTATTCTTCAGTTTTAGATAAATTCTCAATTTCAGTTATATTTTAAGTATAAATTAACAATAGGTACTAAATTACGTTTTAATTAAATTTTTTTTGATTGTTTTTGTCATCATGGGTTTTAAAGCCAAAATGCATTTTTATAATAAATATAAATTATAATATATTATGTATAAATGTATTCTATGATTTAAAATATAATAAATATATTTAATTATACTATTCTATACTTATAAAGTGGGGAACAATGTATTGTGATTTTCTATTTTTTTTTTTTATTATTATTATTATATCAGTTGTTTAGGGTTTAGTTCAAAATCCAAATCAATGTAATTTTAAATTTATAATATAGGTAGTTTATTTAATGTACTGATTTTGACATAGTAACTATAATAATGAATGTTACGCTCTTAGGCTAATATATCATTGTATTAAGCTAGCTTAAATATCACACTTAATCATTACATTTGTAACTTGTATGATTTGTATTTATCATACAAAAAATCAAATTTTTGAACTTGGCACTTGAAGCATTATATAATTAATTGGCACCTTTATAGAAGCTTAAAACAAATTTTTATACTTATTTAGAATGCTTAAAACGTATTCAAAAACTGAAATTGCGTTGGATTTGCTTCGTGAATTTACTACTAGACAGTGGTCATTTGACAATAAAAATACTGTAGAACTGTGGTTATCACTAAGTAAAGAAGATCAGAAGACGTTTTGGTTCAGCTTCGAAGATTTTGACTGGAACAGCTATATAAATATCTATTATTTGGGGATCAGGAAACATATACTTCACGAAGACCTGAGTAATACAGAAAAGGCTGTAACAAAAAATCGAAAGTAAAGTTTTGAATTCTTTTTTATTATTTAATATAGTTGTATGTGTTTTAATTAAACTCAAGTTTAAAAAAAATGAAGTGTGAGTTGGTCTTGAAAAATGAAATTAGAATCTTACTTAGTTATCACTTATGTTACTTTATTTTATATTCATTATATATTTATCGTCTTTTTTTCAGATTATTCTGGTTGCATCATTTATGCATTGTTTTTATTATTTATCTTCTACTACAATTTTTGTATTGGATGTTTATAATATAAAGCGTACCTACCAACATAATGATACGAATTTTACTCAAGCATCAATAATACTTCTACAGATTATGATCATGAAACAAAACAGCTGATATTTGAACTTGAAATGAATAACTCCTAATACGTATTTATTTTATTTATTATTTGTTTATTTTCAACTTAATTAGTCAGTATTATTAACCTGTAGTAGGTTATTCATAGAATGTATACTACATTATACAAACTTTAATATTGTCAATAAGAAATTAAATTGTTTTTAGTAATGCGTCTGCATACCTAAATATGAATAAGAAATCATTATTAAACTGGTGGTTATAAGATTAATAAGCAATGTAAATATGATTTTTAAAAAATAAATGTATTATTATTATGAAAAATCCGATACTGAATACCGATGATTAAATGGACTGCTATACTATTGATTTATATTTATATGAAAATATTCTTTTCAACCTAGGATGTACTATAATATATGTATTGTTAGTAATAAATGGCATAGATAAGATAGCAATAGTGAAATCCAATATCTACTAAGTAGCTGTACATTTACCTGAAGATAAAGTTTTTCTGATTTCAATTAAAAATAATATATTGGTTTTTATACTGTCACACAATGTCGATTTAATTGTATTCTGATTTGAAACAAATTAGATTTTAAACATTATTTTTCGATTTAAAATAAATATGTACCAATCACTTTTTCCGGTTCTTCTTTTTATTTCTACCTAAAAGCAATACTTTCTGGATCGTCATTTGCTCGTTCCATAAGCGTCGTTACTGTCAAACGGTTCTAAGAAATCGAAATATTAGTTACTATAATATTATACTACTTATTACCAGCTACCGAAGAATAAATAATAATATTATACACCTGTTGGGTATTGTTGCATTTAATATTTACTCCCGCTATCCATAAAAATATTAGATAAATTAATACTTAAACATATAATATTACCTTACTTATAAAAACCAATAACCATTGGATGTTGTATGCCCAAGTCGTCCAGTTGTACTGCTCACCGGCTTGGATCACCGCTGCCCTCTTTCTTCTGCCGTAACTTTAAGTAGTTTTTCAAGGCTCATTATTATAATAATTATAATAATTATTGATAAATAATTACTAAATTGTCTCTCCTTCACCTTACTCTCTGATCGTTACTCCTCTCGTCGTTTGTCTGGATGTCCAGTAAGTTATGTTGCCGACTCGGTACACTCCAGGCGTACCAAAAGCAACTTTGTTAACCGGGTTCCTACCTAACACTTATCGCATGCAAAATATTATAACGTAAAAAATCAAATAACATAATAATATTATTGATTAGTCCTGTCAACTAATTAATATTAATTGTACTTCACTGTCATACAATATAATAATATATTTTGGTTGACGGAGTGGCCGACGCCAGATCGATTCCTTGGTCATGGGCTGCATTTTTCTTCGGGCAAGTCACGGTGTGCCCATCCGGGCATTGCAGATACCTACGGGTGCCCAAATTAAAAATTCTGTCAAACCCAACACACGTGTCCCCCCACCCCCTACCGACATTAAAACGTACAAAACCAATACAGCTAATGGACCATAAGTGCCGGGCTTAAGATAAAAAAAAATATAATATCTTTTATTTTACGTATCATATTTTTCTGACATCAATCATGATAAAACTGATTTAATGAAAATTTAACTGAACTTTTAGAAGGTCCCATAGTCTGAAATTATACACATTTACTATTTAAGATCTTCCACAGAGAAAATATATTTACAATATTGGTTAAAATGACGTAAATCGTAATTAAATAATGTATTTTCTAATTTTGACAATCAAAGAGGAAAGGCGAGAACCGCATGCTAGCCGCTAGGTAGGTATAAGTTTGCCTAATCCAATAAATCTTATAAACTAAGATCAAGTAATCAAAACTATAAAATACTTTCGTCAAGTCTGTATTCGGTGTACACATCATTTATACGACCACCCAAACTAATAATAAAAACCAAGTAAGTAATGAAAAAAAGTAAGCTTGTAACAGTAAAATAGGTCTATAATATAAGCACTTGATAGCTTATAATAGTAATTTTTATGGATATTCCGGACGAGTAGAGCCACGTTTTCAACATAAAGTTAGCAAAACTTACAGGTTTATATCAAATATTGGATCCCGGAACCGTGCAATCCCGTGGTCAGAACATTCCTCAAATGGTGAGTAGGTACAACTTTTGAGGTATTTGTAAAATGTAAAGTGTATTAATATAGGAACATTAGGAACGTATTGTATACACAATACATATAATTTAAATGTAGGTATGGTAATCGACACTTATCGTCATGTACTCATGTCCAATGATGTTATCACTTACTATTTTATTTCGTCAAGTATAAATAATATAATTACAGTCAATTCGCGATAAATTGAAAAACTTGACAGCTAAAATTGTGTTTTTTTTGTATTCCTCTAGAAAATTGTTCCCCGATAAATTAATTAGACATCTCGAAGTGAATTTTTATCCCCTTCAACTTCGAGTTATCGTGACTAGACTGTATTAAAAAAAGGTGTAGGTATTCAGAGTGATTCACCAAGCATGGTCACCCTACTCAACCTCATTTTATCATTTAATAATGAATATATTCAAACACGAATTTTTAGAATACACATAAATATCGTTTTTAAAAGTTCTTGAGATTTTTTTATACTACTTAAGGAGTGTCCTGTAGCCGTGGAAAGTACTGGAAACACGTGTTTTAACTGAAAATTATTAAATGGATAATTTTTGTTAAATTTCAATTCGTCTTATTGATTATTTGAATGAGAAGTAAATCAATTATTAAAATGTTTATATTAAGAATAATAAGTCCTTAAAAACCGTTTTACGAAAATAAACAATAAACATAATACCTATTGGATTTAGTGTTAATTTTACTCACCTGCAACTTACTTATAAATTATAAATATTGATAGATTAATATAAATTACTAAAACTTTCAAATAACCAATAGGGTCATATTCAAAGGCCGTTGCCGTGGACCTAAAATCCTTTCTATAGAATGTTAGATAACTCAGAAACAACTAGTTATTTTGTTGTGATCGTATAATATTATTCGTGGGTACTTGATACTTTTAAAGTATATCAAAACTCATATATTTAATATTATATATATTAAAATTGTTACTGGTCATACAATAATTAAGTCTAAACTCTGAAGCATTAAATATATTGATTACCCAATGGCAGTTTGCGTCGTAAAATCTTTTGAATCCATAACAATTGATTGTGCATCTCTAGATATAAAATATTATCTTCGTTTTCAGCTAGCTCTGATTGAAGTTTAAACTTCCAACTCCGCAGATCAAAAAACATCGATTAAAAGTATTGAATATTGAATTTTAAAGTAGGAAAGTCAGGTAGGTACTTACATTTATATGTAGCTGATAATATTATGTGATTTATGTATAAACATTTTATACCCCAACACGTTATATATGACGATCCAAAAATAATAAATACCTATATACACGAGTATATACACGAGTACATATATACCTAACACGCAGCTTGTTATTTCTCATTTATATCTGTCGTTTATTGATCTAGTGAGTGTTGTAATTTGCAAGCTGTACCTATGTGTAATACGACGAACAATACTAAAACATTTTGAAGTCGTATTTTAAAGTATTACGTTTTTAAGTTTAGTATTACAGTGGTTTTAAATACATTGAGTAAATCACCAAGTACCTATGGAATTGGTTTGTTGTCTCCCTGCCCATGCCACTCATAGTATTTATGACAAGATCGACTATTAAAAACATTTAAACATTTTATACATTTATACCCGTGGTATGGCCGCATGTACCTATTACTTTTTATTCATATGTGTTATTTTGGGTGTATTTACGATCTATATTATAATATCGCATATTATCGCCCTGCTTAGTACGATTTCGTTTAACATTGTCATAATATTATATAGATTAAGTGTCACTTTATTGAGTTCTCTTCACTTAGAAGTTCTACGAGTTTGGTGAATATAACACGCTGTTACTTAGCTTTTCATTTGAGTTGTCCACAGCTGGTAGAGCTTACGAGTGCAGTAGCGAAAGTTGCTGTTAAGTTTGAGAAATAATTAGGGAGACGGCATTAATAATGCAAGTATAGCTGCTCAGAGGACACAGAATATAATATTTTTTGTCTTCATATTTTGTAATAATTATTGCTTAAAATGGCTATAATGTATTATAAATATCTACGCATAGTCATTAATTATAATGACTATGGAATTCGCACTGTTCATGTTTTATACCTAGTAATAATCGGGTTTCACTACAATAGGCGCTTTGGACGCGTCGCGATTTAGTTCGGATAGCGTTGTAATCGTTGTAGTCGATTCGGCAATATATGAAACTATAGTTACAGCCTTAATCCTTTTCAATACTATTTTATAGATATAGACATATAACATTATACATTATAGCTATGATAAATGCATAAAATAAGAACACATATTATTTATAAGTTATAAGAAATTAATACATATGATTTATTGTATAATCATTATTTTATATTATATTTGATACATAATAAATTACAATTTTAAAAGATACTACTATTATACATAGTATAACGAATAAGAAGTATGCTAAATGATAAGACTGCGCATATTTTTGTAAGGGGCAATGTATAATTTATATAGACAACTAACAATAAACACAATGCGACTTCAAGAGTATAAATTTAATCTTATGCAATGCAGTATGCACAAAAACACAAGGCGATGCACATGCTCGAACTAGGACAAAAACACGGTTCGAATTGATCATACTTCTTATTTCTTATACTATGCTACTATATTACTATATTAGATTAGAGTATTACAATATGATGTTTCCATATGCATTACAAAAATTAGTAAATTATGAAGAACGTGCTGAGGTCCTTTAAAATATCTAAAAAAAACAACAGAAAAACTGACGGATAACACAAAACCACTTATTTATTAATATCTTATTAAATAATT